TAATAGCTGCTCACCTTTTTAAGTCATGTTGTCTTCTGAAATATACTAACGCTCCCAGAGCTACCAAAACAACTGGCAAGGCAATGGTTAAGCTGAGGGCGACGTGGCCAGGGGCAGGTCCACGCACTGCCTCTTCACAGAACTCTCCGCGATATTCCACCAGACAGCTGCATTTTCTCAGCTCTCCTTCCATTGTACAGATCCCCCTCTTATTACAGAAATCGCTGCTACAGGACAGATGTTTTGTCCTCTGTAAGTCCTTGGGCTGAACAGACTCCCCGCTTTCCTTGGTTTCTGAGGTCTTGCTTCTTCTAGCAAGAATCGGAGGGGTCAGTGTTTTTCTGACAGGATAATTCATCCCTTCTGGAACCAGATATCTAGCCTTGGTGGGCTTGGGAGCCTGGAGAGGTTGGGCAGCTTTTGGAGTCACCCTTTTTCCAGCCTCTGGCTTTTTAGGTGTTGGTATTGAATGGATTTTATCTGGATGGGTACCTACAAAAATAGTAGGTATGAGTGTGGGTATATATACATATTTGTCAGTTAAGAACTATTTTCAGAACAACAGGAATTCCAATGGACTTAACCAGATAAGGTTGAATTTATGAGATCATACGATGCATCACTACCATTACTTTGGGTTAAACAAAAAATTATTAAAAATTTATATTAAAAAAACTGCATATCTTCAAGTACTTAAAATGTTTGGTTTCAGGACCAGTCTATTTATCATACCATGATGATATACATAGTTTTAGCCAAGGTAGATTTCATCAGTTTTATTCTATAAGGATTAGTATGGTAGATTTAAGTATTAAACATATAGACTAGAAAGACTTTTTAAAATGTAAGTTTATCTATGAATACTTAAAACTTTTTTGAGTCCAAATAAATTGTAGGTTTAGCAAGATACATGAGATGTAATAAAAAACTATGGTGAATGTTGCTGCCGAGCGCCATCCAATGGAAAGGCAGGGATCTTCAATACAGGAAGTGGCATGTGGAAGCTTAGTAACAGTGTGTGCCAAGTTTCAACTTGTTCAGTGCAGTCAGTAGGGTGTGAATTACAATTGAGAGAAGGTGTGTTTTAAAGTGCGCTGTAAATCATCCTCCATCATGACAACACTACGTGTCATACATCGCTTTGGTATCCGGCAATTTCTGTCAAACAAAAACATTACGGTGTGTCCTCATCTACCTTATTCACCGGATCTGGCACCGTGCGACTTCTGGCTCTTCCCTAATGTCAAAATGATTCAGGACATCAAGGCAGCCATGACAGTGCAAATAAAGACTCTTACAAAAGAGGACTCCCAGAACTGTTTCAGAAAGTAGCAAGAATAATAGGATAAGTGTGATCAAACTGATAGCAGGTATTTTGAGGCAGATTAATGGCAATGTGTCTTTTACTGTAATAAATTATTCAAATTTAAACATTCACGTATGTTTTGATCACGACTCATATAAGTGGCAAACATTGAACCAGGTTTGGTGGCCGTGGTGGGAGGCGCACACATTAGGCAAGTAGTAGGCAACAGGGTGCTTCTAACCAAAAAGGAATCTAAAGTTATGTTTAAGGCATTTCACCATATTTTCCGTGATTGTTGGCACAAGAGTTATTCCTCACATGAACACTGAAGACCAAACTATGGAGAGGGAAGAGAGCAGTATTAGCAATGAAACTACTTCTTGCCTCTGCCTTAAGCTGGTATTACAGGAGTGTTTCCACTCCTGGGCACTTTAGGGTCCCTCGTGGTAAGGTATATCCAGAGGAAGCCAGTCTAATTTTATACACCCAATACCATTCCCCCCAAAAAAGTTATGTAAAAGTCAGGGTAAAAAATTATTAAGGAGCAAAGCCAACTCTTGGGTTTAGGTAATCAGGAATGAAAGAATAAGTGAAGGTATGTTAGGTTTCTGGTTTAGTTTTAAAACCAGGTGGTGAAGGCGCTAAATTTTCGCTCATTGACCACCCTCCCACCCCCCCATCACTTCTCAAGTCACTATCAACACAGGGCTTTCAACAGAACCACCCTCATTTGCAAGATCATAGAATCAACTCTGAGAAAATCCATTATCTTTCCTATTTAAGATGAAGTGATTAGGGATAATAATTTGCCTTCCAGCTAGTCAGATTTTAGGAAGATGAGAATTTAAATTAAGAAACCAATGAGAACCCTTCACTGTAAGAGGTTTTGGTTCCCCCCCTCTGCCCCCAGTTATTTTCTATACTAGTTATGACCACTCTCAATATCAAGTCCACTGCCTCTCCAATTCTATAGCTTACAGGTGAAAACAAGGCAACAGTTTAGAGCAGGGGTCGGCAAACTGCGGCTTGCAAGCCACATGCGGCTCTTTGGGTATGTACATGTGGCTCTGAAGTAAAATTGAAAATGAAAATAAAACTATTATAGTTTCATTTATAACATTTTAAAGGGTATTATTCACATAACGGTGATTTCCTTTGTTTTATGGCTCTTGAATCATTTTTAAATTGTTGAGAGACAGGATTGGCTTTTCCATCTCAAAAGTTTGCTGACCCCTGGTTTAGATGATAAAAGCTTAAGGAATTATTAAGGAATAAGTGGAATTATTCCTTAATGACTTAAAAATAAGTCATTAATGGTGATGAATAGTGGGTCCCAGGTAGGAGATACTCACAGCCCATTTCATCAGATTCATCCAGGCAGTCAGCACGACCATCACATACTTGCTCCATGGAAATGCATCTCTGACCATCCTTACAGGATAGTGATGGTGCAGAGCATCGGACAGCTTCCATGCATTTGTTTGTGTCAGCCAAGTAGTACCCACTGGAACATTTACAAGTCTGTCCTTCAGGGTTTGGTAAACATATATGGCTACATCCTCCATTGTCTTTTGAGCAGCTGTTACTACCTGTGGATCCCTCACCCCCCAAAAATATACTGATTTAGAATTTTTTGGAAGGGCCTTTTGTAAATTTTCTGTAAATAGACTATCAGAGTTACAGGACTCAGATGTTTTCCCCAGAGGAGACAGTTCATCAATTTAATTCCTTTTAGTCAATTAGGTACCAAGTGATTGGTGATTCTTCTTCATGGATAAGGATGGCTTTAAAAAACTAGGATTCAGACAAGGGACTGGCGTAAGAAAACTTGAGGTGAATTCTGGTTCATCCAAGACCCCGTTATGAGTTCTCTTCTTACACTAAGCACCCAAGAGCAGGGTCCTAGAAATAAAGCTCTCTTTAGATGGAAACATGGGGACAGTGGACTCTATTATCCTGCTAAGAGTCAAAACTACAGAGAACAGATTGGTGGTTGCCAGAGGTGGGGGTGAAGATGGAAAAAGAAAAATCTGATTTAGTCAGTCATTTATAGCTTTCCATAGGTCTCCAAAGCTTATAGCTTAAACTTTAACTTCTAGTGGAGTTTTACCTTTTGACATATTCCAGGAATTGTGGACGAGGTATGTATGTAGTGCACATAAAACCTACTTTAAATGTAACAGAGACCTTCCTCATGGTTCTCAGGACTAAGCAACAGATTATCATCACTTGTGTGACCATTATCACACTGAAGAATTCTGAAAAGGTTCTCCCCACAAAGCCAAGACTTGGGGAGTTTAAGCATGATTAATACCAGTGTATAAAGGTTAGCTTTCAAAAACAAAGCAATGAAGCAGCATTCCCTTAGGACTAAAATACTCATCACATATGGTCATGGTAGGTATGGTTAACTATTTGAGCTCACATTGTTGGTGTTATTCTCTACTAGGAACAGATTTCTCCTATTACTACTTTAACGATGCCTATCATCATCCTCTCCAAACATTCAGTCAGGCACTACATTTGTGTCTATGTGAAGGGTGGAGAAAAACCTCTGAGCACTCCCCCAAGTTGATATTTCAAGGATTAATTAACATCACAAACAGATACAAGTGACAGTAAGTAGAATGAAGACTAGTTCCACTTTAGAGCTAAAAGGGGGTTTCAATTATACCACTGTTGTAATTAATCTACAACAATAGAACTGAAAATAAAACCCAAGTATACGAAACTTCTGCCCATATATTTACCACTATTGTGTCACCTAGATACATAACAGGATTAGTTATATATGAAAACTAGACTGTATATAACCACATAAAAACAAGAGCGTTATGCAGGAATTTGCCAGATAAATATTTTAATGGAAAACACAAATATATTTCAAGGAGATATTGCAGGATAGACCATCCTCTCCCTGGGGAAATTCAGTAGACTTCAGTGTTGTCATAATCATTGCAAGGTTGCTTACTTACCCTGTTGACAAAGTTTACTGTAGAGTTTTAAATCTACAATCTTCTGATCTACTTGGAACCACCGGTTTTCTGAAAGTTCTGCTTTGCTGTACCAAACTTTAGTGATCTGGGCTGAAACCAAAGTCAGTGAACAATCATTAACAAAAGTGAGATTTTATTTTAAGACAACTTCCTGGGCAAAGAACATTGTTCAATATGAAAATTGTCACTTGTTTGCATAAAATCCAATTGAACAACAAGAGTTTTACAGAAGAGACACATATTTTTCTAAATCTTGTTTCTGAGAAGAAACTTCAAGATAAATAAAAAACATTCTATAACTTTTCCCAGAATAAAATCAGGTGTTAATAAGCTATGTTTAGTACATTCATATATGTCCAGATATCTAAAGATAGAAAATTAGGATATGTGACACTTTAAATGCAACCCACACATTGGATGGACAATGATTTTAAACATTGTTCTAGAACATTTCTGAAAATGACTTATCTGCAACAACAGTCACCAGAGGGTCTTAAAATAGATGCCAAGGTCTTACCACATACCTAATAAATTAGCACCTCTGGAGTCTGACCTGACAGCTTGTTTTTGCAATTCTGATGTGGCCAGCCCAACTGGTCAATGGACCAGCATTTGGAAATATAAAGAAACAGATTTATTTTAAACAGCATTTTCCAGTTTTAGCAAATCTAGACTCTAGCCAGAAATAAGATACTAGAGCACTGTGGCTTAGGACAACCTCTTTGAATACACTAGAAATACCATGCAAGTATAGAATGCTCTATAATTCACCTAGTACTTTCATGTGTATTTAGTCAACAGAAACAGGTACTGTCTTCATTTTTCAGGTACAGTGTTATAATAGCTACTAGCTACTAACTAACAGAACAGTTATACAGCCTAGTTCTAATTTCTGGTCCAGTTTCCTCCCTACCATCCTCCAAAGCACAGAACCTCATATAATGCCAGAAATCTCAGGCAGAACAGGACTAAGTGTATTGATATAAAGAAAAATAAAATAAGTTAAAGCTCCCCCAAGTCACAGAATCACTGTTAACACATATATTTTATTTATTTATTTATTTTCCTTTGCCAGCTGATATGACTTTTTTTTTATTGTTAGTTTCAGGTGTACAGAACAATGCAATAGTTATCCTTTTCACCCCGCACAAAAACAACCCCCCTCCCCCCATCTACTGCTCTCCCACCCCCAATATCATGCTTATCTATTACAATTCCATTGACTCCATTCGCACACTCTACTCCACATCCCATAGCACATACATTTTAGATTAGGTAAGTTGCTTAGCTGTTTTTCCAAAAGAAAGACACCGCCAAAGAGCAGCGCTAAGCAGTAGCACATTCACTTTCAATACTAAGGAATAAATTCAGATCACAAAGATAATCAGATGTAGAATTAAGGCCTACCATCATCAACTGTTGTCCAGAGCATCATGCCTTGGCCATATGTAAACAGGTTAAGGCCCTGAATTCCTCTGCGATCTACTCTGTATCTTGTGCCATCTTGTTGAATACTTTCTATGAGTCCTCTCCCTACAAAGAGAGAGGTTCAGTTCATTTCATTAGCCCAAACAGTTGTTCTCTATCCTGTAGCTCTTTATGTCTTGTCCTGCCTCCCTTCCAGGAGACACCATCTGCCATGCATTCTCTGAAGGCCAGTTCTTCATTCATTCTACTCTAACAGTAATGCACAGATTTGCTCATGCATATTTGTTAAGTTCTCGATTTTTATTTCTTTACAAAGGGGCTATTGCAGGACTTTGTGGGCTATTATATGCTACTTAGGATGGGGAATGATTGCATTATACTTGTTTGAAAGGTGGTGCAGAAAATGTAAACTCAGACCCAAAAGTTATTTGCAGTTACAGCTGAAGACCAGAAAGCAGAATATCAACTACTTCACTCTGGCCAAGGTCCCTCAGACTCACATTTAGGGTGAAGGTAATAATTGCTTACCAGTATCAGCCCAGTACACTCGGGTCCCTGAATCCGAAAAGGTGAGGCCCACAGGGACCTGGGATTTCTGCCACAGTACCTTCCTTCTGCTGCCATCCATGGAGGCACATTCAATGCTGGACCCATGCCTACCATCATCCTGGGAACCCAGATCCACAAAGCACATGATTGCAGTAGGTGGATGGAGCACCACAGAGGTAGGGCGGTAAAGACTTTCGCTAAACAAGACAGTGGAATACTGGCTTTTTGAGGAAGCTATGTTGATATGGGGATTTGCACTGTCAATCCAATATATGTTTCCACTCAACCAGTCCACAGCAAGGTCGATTATTGTCCCCTCCACAGATAGGAGTTTCTTCCAAGACAGCTTTCCAGATTCTTTGAGTCTCAGTAGCCTAATATCACCATTGTCCAACTCTGAAAGGTAGAGCTCCTTTTCCTGGACAAGGTAGTCCACTGATGCCAGCTGGTTCACATTGGTAAAGGGAAGTATCCTATGCTCTGGTAAAGTTGCTTGTCCTAGTAAAGCTAGATTTTTCAGATAAATCTATGGAAAAAAGTCAGGTAGATGGTACCAGTTGAGTCTAGTTTAATTTGTCATCTTGATTTTGCATTAATATTAAGACACTTAAGTTTAGATTTTCATACATTCTATCTTCTAAAAGCAGGTAGCAGTTATTTCTCTCCCTTCCTTGAGTTTCAAAAACTTAGAATTCTTTGAATTCATGTGTTTTGAAGGTTTACTCCTCTGTCAAAAGTTCTCCCCTTTAAATGAGACCCTACCATTAAGATCTTACTGAAACTGAAGTCAACCTTCCATTCCAAAATTTGTCATTTTAAAATGCCAAAATTGACAAGTCCTCTACATGGTAGAAGTTAGGGGTGACATGCTTGTCAGTACCTTTTACCTTCTATGATTTAAAAAAAGCTCCTTCACAAACTGTACTTACCCAACTCCGCCCCCAGGCTAGAACCCAACCAAGCTGCTTATATCTGGAATTACTCTACATCATCAGCTAAGTGACTGGACAACTAAGCAACATTGTCTAAACTAAACTAAACTAACCTTACTGTGTTTTGATGTACTAAGCATTTCTTAAGGGAATTTAAGTCAGAGTGGTCTTCATTTCCTAGCCACTTTATTTTGGTCAGGCTAGCTCCCAGCACACAGAAAATACTAAAATTTAAGCTGTATTTGAAGAATGTTGTAAGAGAAAGAGCCCCTGGGCTCTATAATTGTACACGGAGAACTCAAATTCCTCAGTCTGAAATAGAATGTAACCCAAGCACAGACACGCGAAGAAGCCAGTGGACAGTACCTGTATGACAACTGTGGGCAACACAAGGAACAGAAATGCAGACTCCTCGACAGGAACACAGCTGAGGCCATCATCTGCAAGCAGGAGTCCATTTGGGCAGTGACAGCTGCCCTTGGATCGTGGGCTCAGGAGGCACAAGTGAGAACATCCAGTGTCCAGACAAGGATTAGAAGACCTGGGCTGCAGCGCTTCATGCATTATCTGAAAGAAAACAGCTAGATGTCACCACACATTACTGAATCCTTAACAATAGCAGATGAATCAATCTTGCTATTTTTCATCATTACACACGGATGTCACTCCAGTTTGTACTTAGGCAGCTCACCCATGGAGCCTTTTCAGGGAGAATGAGGGGGATATTTTGAAGAGTATAGGATAGACCTTGAGTCCATAAGTCTGTTCGAAGCGCTTGATGAGGACAGCTCTGTTCTTGCCTGTCATCTTCTTCATATGCTGTACTGTTCTTGTCTTCATTTCAGACCAGAAGACTTCATCTTCCAATACAGCAACCGAAAAGGGGCTCTTGATTTGTGTTAGCTGCAATGTCTAAAACAGGGAAAAGGAGGTGTCTGAGATGAGTTCTATATGAGGCACAAGGCATTTCACACAAGCCTGATACCAAAAGGACACTTACACTAATACCAGTACCATCTAGGTTGGCAGAGCCAATACAGTGAAATTTGTCATCCGACCAGAATATCTTCCAACTCAACTGGTCAAGAACTATGCTAGTTGGCCTGCCAAGACCTTGACTGATGAGTATTTTTCTGCTGCTACCATCCATTCCAGCTTGTTCTATGTGAGGTTCTCCTCCAATTTCAGACCAGTACATTAACCTATGTGGATAAAAGTCAGTTTTGAAATGAACTATTACATCACAAAAAATGACATCAATTCATTCCTTAAAATAATGATTTGCAGCCCAGTTATTTTTCCTCAAAATTAAACTTGGCCTATTCCATAAGCATAATTGTGAAATAGTAAAAAGCTTCCCTTGATATTTTATAGTGATTGTTTAGTCATCATTTGGGGGTAAGTTATCATGACAGTTGTGCAAGAAGGCTAGGAATACATTATTCCCTAAGCCATGGAAAATACGCAGGGAACCTGATAAACTTTTCTGTGCTGGAAAATAGGCTAGTTCCACCGGCAGACATGTGCCTCAGACCTCATTCTTGGCCCCAAACCATTAGATGCATCAGAAACTATTTCCAGTTTTCTGAGGACCATGTTAACAGATACCTGGTTGAAGGTATTAAAAAGATGAGAAGAGCCGACGGAGGGTACTCAATCTGGGTTACCTTTGAATTCTGAGTTTTGCTCTGTCTTATTCTTTCATTTGAGATATCTATATCTATATCTGTATCATCTGTATCTGTATCTATATCTATCTATATCTATATCTATATCTCCATCCCAATTAGGGCTTGGCTCTGCCAAGTAAAATTGTTGTCTCTTAAGTTCCTGGCCCTTTGCTGAGAGAAAGGACTCTAGGTAGAAGAACCCAGGTTCAAATTTATTTACACCTTATACACACAACCTTATACACACAATTATTCACCCCAGCCACCACCACTAAGCACATTATTGTAAATTAAACACTATCCCTAGTTACAGTCTCTCTACTATTACAATTTTAAAGCCATAAAATTCTCCATTCAGGGGTATATTTATTTTGGCAAAGGAAGGTATAGATGGACTTTTATAAAGGACTTTTTCCAGATGTTTTCAATATTACTATGTGTGTGGTTGACCCACATCACCATAAGATCTAAAGTCAAGTCAGATAAGGCTTCTATTCATTTGTTCTGTGTTGGGTGACGACAATCAAAGAACTAAAGAGGAAAATCAAATTTAAAGGACTTGACCAGGCATTGTGATGCCTGGACTCACCCACTTGGAGGATCTAAAGCCAAAGACAGTGGTTGATTCAAGTCATCATCCAGGACAACCGTGTACTCAGATTTTCCTCTCCAAACAGCAGTCAGCTGAATCGCCAAAATCTGGCCCGCTGTCCCATCTGTCCAATAGAGATTCCTCCCAATCCAGTCTACCACTATACAGTCTGACTTTATCCCTGAAGAGAGGACACCAGTCAACACGTGTACTTAGGTTAAATGATAGCTTTTACTAGGTTTGAGCTCATGGGCATCAAACTAGCATGCCATATTAACTCATTTTTCAACTAGCATATGCATCTCCAGCACAGCAGTCTTCTTTAAAATGCTCCAAAGTACTATTTGTAGAAGAAGACAGCCATTACAAATAATGGTCGCTGGTGGATAGTTTGGCTGACTCCATGTCTACTGAAATGACAATGCATCTTTCCATTTGTAACCAACTTGCAAGCTTTGATCCCTTTTAGTTAAGGAGATATAATTAAACTGACATTTAGCATGTTAATGACCACTCATTATATTTTCCATGTTATGTGTATTTAGTGAGGGCAAGATGGAAAATTGCCCTACACAAAGGGACACACCTTTTACCACAGTCCCTTTCTTCTTTGTGTCCATGCTTATCCACTTAATACTTTCCGCACCGAGGTCTGTCCAGAAGATTTTCTGCTCCACTAAGTCATAGTCAAAAGAGAAAATAATCAGGTCCTTGTCTGTGGTCGCCAGAATATCTTCTTTCAAGCTCCGCAACCCATAGAGGAGTAGGTTAAATTGAATTGCCACAAGCAGGATTGGTTCAGTACCTATTGAATAAGAACTGCTTTCAGTATGGCCTTAAGAAGTTTGAACGGTGTACCCAAGCACTGGCTAAGGAATTCGAGCACAAGGTAGTCTTTGCTTTCTCATTGCCAGTTTGTCCCTTGATGTAAAGCTTAAACTAATATCCACAGTTTGAAGATACTTAAAATAAGGCATGGTTAGCTTAAATTGAAAACCACACTTCTAACTAAATATTTGGGGGTAGGTAGGCAGGAAAGAAGTGTTTGTCAGGACGTTAGACATTTATTCTAACTTCAGGTGAGGCTGATCCTGGATACACAGGCCAGAGTTATGGTTTTGTTATAATAATGCTTTATTAGTAGATACTTTCAGACTCAAATTCAATACAAGGTATAAAAACCGTTCTTTGGGATTGTGCTAGGCTTGCTCTGAAGACATATAAGGCAGGCCAGAGCACTTAAGACCTGACAAAGAAAGATTTGCATCGGTATGCCTGGAAGATTTAGGACTTGAAATCTTGTGACCCAGGCCTAAGGAGATATTGCTCCCGTCTACCTGTTGCTTTACAGGTATGGCCATCAGGCTCCAGCGAGTAGCCAGGATGACAGGCACAGCGGTAGGAGCCCTCAGTATTGATACACGTCTGACTGCAAGGCTGACCACCTGGCTTCTGGCATTCATCCACATCCTTGCAGATTTGACCACTGCTCTTCAGCTCAAAGCCTTGCTCACAAGTACATACCTGGAAGAGGTTGGAAAACATTAAGGCTTTCTGAAGACAGTACAATATTGATAAAAAGGCCTTAACATTGCTATTATATAAAAGGCCCATGGCAATACACCCAAGTTCAGTAACTCCAATGGTTCTTAGGACAAATTTATTTTGAATACAGTCACTTTTATTATCAACCAGGCCACACACCTCACACCCTTGAGTCCTGAGTTAACAGAGCAGTCTAAATTCAGACTCAGACACCTAGGCCCTCAGCAGAATCAGTGAGTGAAGAGGTGCATCAACTTAACAGAACTGGTTGTCTCCAACCAGTTACTATGACCAGACATCAGAACATAATTTTCTTCTACTTGTCCATTAGAATCAAGGTCATGATGTTCAGCCACCTAATAATGCTAAACGAAAGCACAGGCAGTCCTCGATTGAAGGGCAGGTCACATTCGAAATACTCGCATGCAAGGGACTTCCACAAAAACGCCTTGCTTAGCCCTTAAGTGTCAACCAGAGCTCACAGATGGAGTGGGAAGGACCATGGTAGCCGTTTCTGGAGGCTGGTGGTAGAGACACAAAATAGAGAAGGAACTAGCCAGGAGCCCGGAAAGGCTCAGGTACAGGGCCTTCAGTGCGTGAGTCAGCTCTGTCATGTAAGACTTAGAGCTCAAGGAGCAGTCGGGGACAGCCTGAATGAGAAAGTTGCCCCCCTTCACTAACCCAAGCTCAGAGCTGCTAGAGAAGAGTAACTGAAGAACTCACAGGCCCACGCGGGGACTGGTGGCAGGTGTGGGGACACTGTGATTGGCGGCATGCTGATGACGAGCACCTTCCGCCCTCATCAGAGCCATCGGCACAGTCCTCCTTCCCGTCGCACACGAGGCTGAAGTTGAGGCAGGCATAGGAGTGGCACTGGAACTCAGAGCTCTGGCACTTCTTGGGGGGACCTGGAGAGGATGATTTTCTACTTTTATAGCCTATCTTGCAAACACACCTCCCCGAGTCAGGCTTCCATTGTGTACAAGATGCCTCCATTCTGGTAAAGAAATGGGTCTCAGATCCTGTAGCCTTTGCTTGCTGAGGTGGTTTTGCACACTGAGCAGAAGCAAGAGGCAGGTGCCTTTTGAAGCCATTCGCCTTTCCCCTTCAGTGAGAACTCCCCACACTTACATCCAGCTTCGTCACTGCCATCCCTGCAGTCATGCTGCCCGTCACAGTGCCACGAGTCAGGCACACACTGGTCTCCACTGGCACAGGACCACTGCCTGGAGCCACACTGCAGATCCCCAGGGTCACAGTTCTGAGGAGACAGTGAGTGACTCAGCCAGTGGCCCTGCCTTCAGCACCCAGGAAGGGGTTCTCGGAGGAAGAGGATGCCTACATGTACGAGACAACTCTTAAGACCCTTCTGGAACCAAGCCGGTTAAAGGCTAAAAACGTGGAGGTGATGTGAATCATAAGAAATTCTTTCTGTAGCCGGAGGTTACGCAAGGAATTCTAGGTGATATAATACAAAGATAAGTGGGAAATGGGAAGAAATGTCTTATTTTGTCAAATCAGAAAGTCTTACTTTAAGAAGCAGAAGCAAAACACTCTGCTCTAGAAACTTCTCTAGAATTCTTTCCACCATGTCTAACACCCCCCCCCCACCGCCCAGCACATTAATATTTTGTACCTAATCTGACTTGGATACTCAGGGGTGGTGCAGGTTGTGCAAGAGGGAGGGGACATCTGTGCACCTGCTATACCCCAGAGCCTTTAGAGTCACTCTTGATCCCTCAGACGCTACAAGGCATATCTTATACCCATCTTACTAATGAGTAAATAGAGCACTAGGGAGTCGTTACTTTCTTAAGGTCAAATCCAAGCAAGATGATTCAAGCCCAGGCTGCATCTCACACAGTGTGGGAGCTTCTGTGTACTTTATGGTAACTGGTAAGCATCTCTCTGGGTAGGACATTTAAGCCATGGCCATCAAGGCCTAACACTTGCAAACCTACAATAAAAAATCTCTTGAAAGTTTGAATTTCAAAAGGAGGATCTTAACACTTTGATATAGTTAAGAGTGGCTTTCCAGGCAGTAATCATGGGAGACGTCTCTGTTCTTATTTCCAAAGTTTTCTATAGGGAAGCGTGTATTACTGTTGTGATTTGAAATCCAGTTTATTTTTCTGAAAGAAGACTGGACTACCTTCTCATCACTTCCATCTTTGCAGTCTAAGTCATGGTCACATAGCCACTCTGCCAGCACACATTCTCCACTCCTGGGGCACTTCACCTCCCCTGAGGGGCACTGCAGGGGCCAGGAAACAGGACAGCCTTCTTCATCTGAGTGGTCCAGGCAGTCTCGGTTCCCATCACAATGCAGAGAATAAGATATGCATTGGCCATTCTCACATCTAAATTCAGATGAGCTACATTTTTCACGAGCTGAAAAATAAAGCATTAGGTAAGAACTCCGCTAGATGTAGAAGTGATTTGATGGCAAAGTGTTTTAAAGACTCCCTGGTCTTCTGTTGTCACCTTGGGAACTAAGCCCCCACAGGTATTAGGGCAAAGAGGTGCTTCAAAGAGTACACCAGAAAAGGACTACTAAGCTAGCCCAGAAAATCTTCTCTGTCCTGGAGAACAAGGGCTGAGAGAAAGGGATGGAAGGACACTGGGATAGGAAGGGTAGTAGGATTCTCCTCCGGGACCTTAATGTCATCCATGAAAAAAGAAATTCCCCCACAATATCTGAAATGCCCTACAATTTACGTTCTTGGACTCAATTCCTACAGATAGAAGTAGCTTGACTTGGTTCAAGAAAAAGGGTCAGGTCCTCTGCAAAACTATAAATATGTATTGAAAGGTAAATGATTCCTAGGGTTTTTCCCAGATTCCTTCCTTCATCTCTTTCCTCCTGATGTTGTTCTCAAAGCCCAAGTGCAGTCACATCCTCTAGCTACCCAGTTGCTTCTATATCCAAATATGTCATGGTTACCTACCTAGCCTCATCTTCTTCCCACATCCGTTCTCCACATTCTCTCTTCTACCCTAATCCCACAAGTGAATATGGTCTTTGCAACAAGTCATGAGGCAGAACAAAAATAAAGATTGTGTATCCCATAAAAATGAGGGGAAAGCAACGACACCTCCAAATGAGGTGGTCCATCCCACAAGAAGACAAAGGACCACAATTAAAATCTTCAGGGAGGTAGGTTTTAGGTCAAGAAGAAATAATACTTTATTTTGGTAGTAGACTGCTTTTCCACTAATAGAAATCTTCTCATCATGGGAAGGAGAATGTTACAGCATGATGTTCAAGGCCCTTTTAACTCAGCAACTTTCTTCTCAGTTTGTTAACTTTGTAGTAACTACAGGCAGTCCTCCTTATTTGTGGATTCAGTATTTGCATCTAGCTCCTTGCTAAAATTTATTTGTAACCCCAAAAATCAATACTCCTACAGTTTTATGGTCATTTGCCGAGATATGCAAAGCAGCAAAAACATTGAGTTGCCTGACACACGTGTTCCCAGTTGAGGTTGAACAAGGCAACGTTCTGCCTTCTGGCTTCTTGTCTCGTATTGTAAATAGGTGTACTTTTTGGTGATTTTGCTGTTTAAAATGGCCCCTAAGTATAGTGCTGAAGTGCAGTCTAGTGTTCCTAAGTGTAAGAAGTCCATGATGTGCCTTATGGAGAAAAAATATGTGCTAGATAAGCTTTGTTCAGGCATATATAGAGTGTTGTTGGCTGTGACTTTAATATTAATAAGCCAACAATATACATTAAGTTGTCTTTAAACAGAAACACATAAAACAAACTTATACATTGATTGGTTGACAAAAATGTTGTGACCAGAGACTTGTAGAAACCTTGCCCTGTATTTTTTTCTAGGAGCAATGATTCAATATCTGCTAATCCAGTGTTTATAGAAACTACAGAACTATCACAAATCAGAATCAACTGAAATGCAGTTTAAAATACTCCCAGGCAGTTTCATGAAACTTACTACATCCTTGTTCATCTTTTTTGTCAGAACAGTCTGGGTTGCCATCACATAGCCAGCTCTTAGGGATACAGCGGGTCTTGTTGTCACAACGTAGAGAACAATCTTCAATGGGTTTCCAGCAGTCCCACTCGTCAGACCCATCCAAGCACTGCTGAACCCCATCACAGTGGTATTTCTCCTCAATGCACTTGCTTCCATCCAGACACTGGAAGACCCCTTAAATGGAAAGGGTCAAAAGCTAGCGCCATATACTCGGTCACACTGAAGGTTCAAAATTAGATTAACTCACCCTCATTCTGGAGTATGAGGGGTAAATAGACCACATGTTATTTGAGCTCTGTCTCTTAGTTCATCCATAAGCAAGCTTTAATAAAGTGCTTGGGCCAATTAAGTTAGGAAGCTGAACTAAACTGTTTAAATATGGTCTCATTTGTGTTTGGTTACTTTAATGACTTGTTAGAACCCTACCAAGTGATCCATTTAAGTCACTCTATGGCTCAGCTTATATAAAGGCAAATATCAGAATGCTTAAGCAAATTTGAGGAAGCAAGGAAGCAATAAAACGGGTGCTCACAGAATAAGTATTCTGACAGATGATGACTTTTATCTCTGATCATTTATCTAGGGAAAGCAAGTATGATTATAATAAACACTTGGGCAATTCATACCACGCACCTAAAATCGACTCAGTGTACCTGGAACAAAAGAGGAGATGGTGACAGACCTGGTCTGTTGCAGAACTGGGAACAGTTCTCTTCATCAGAGCCATCCTGACAGTCGCGCCTGCCATTGCAGAGGAACTCCCGAGAAATACATTCCTTCCCGTTCCGACAGGGGACAGAGGATCGGGTGCAAAGAAGAGGGGGTGGTGGGGGAAGAGTAGGAGGGGTGGTTGTGGCTGCTCCTTCAACCCCAGGATCTAGAATAAGCAGTTGCTTCAGCAAGTCAGTCCATTAGATTTCATTAATGAGGATGTGATTTTAGTGTCCTCCTCGTCCAGAAAACCAGGCTATGGCTGGGTAGCTACATCTTCGTACTTCAGAAGAAGAAAAACTGAAACTGACCCAAAGCCTAATATTTAGATTAAACGTGGTACATTAGCCCATCATCTAATGGCTTTGAATTTGGGCAAATTGTTTTCTCCTTTCAAGCCTATTAACTTTAACTTTAGGTTTTTGTTTTTTTTTGCCACCTGATGCTATATTCTGGGAGTATAAAATAAAGTAAGTTTCTGAAAAATGGGACTTGTTCTGTCTGGTTCCCTGCTATAGGACCTTGTGGTCTAGGATAGGGGCCAGCATAACGTGGACACACATTTGTTGAAATGTTTAAGTTACACTACGAAAAGTTACCAATTAATATTCTTTGGCAAGTATCATGACAACCTATTGGGTTGTCAGAAAAGTCATTGATGCATTTTTTCTGCGTTTTTTGTTGCAAAAATGCATCATGACTCTTCCGACAACTCAATAATAGATTTGTTAGTAGAATAATCAAAACTGGGTTTGTTGCCAAAAAAATAACTGTTTTTTGGCATACTTTACCTCCTATGCCTAATGCTTCTTAACCCTTAAGATCAGTTTAAGCTGACCAATGAGTCAAAAAGCTAAGGCAATTTAGACAGAAGAGGGAGATGAGAGGCCTCTATGGATTGGGTACATAAAAGAGGAATGCTTTTGTCCCTCTCTGTTCCTACTCTCCCTTGGGATTTCCAGCCACTTCTGCCGACAAAGTCCTCTGAATCCTGTGATAGGACTTCTTTTTTTTTTTCTGCCTCCTGATACAAGATCAGGTTTTTTACTATGTGCCAAAGGCTTATATGGAAGGAAAAAAAAAGCTAAACCAGCCTTAAGTCAGTTAATCTGAATGAAAAGATGAAGCTTCTACAGGAGAGCACTGCCCTTCCTGGCATCCACAGCTCCAGCGCCACTTCGCAAAGGGTCCTCCACAAGATGTTACTGCTATGAGAAAAGGGGGTTCCTTAGTAAAATCATTTTGGGAAGCTGCTTTAGAGCGAATCTGGTGGATCTCTTTATTGTCAGACTAAGAGCTTTGATACGCTAATGTGTGAGAGGAGTCTCAGAAGGGGCCATGCCGTGCAGGCTTCTCAGAGTATTGCTCAGGGACATGTGCCATTTAGCAACTTTGAGAACCATGTTAGATTCTTACTTTTCCAGGCATGGACAAGTTAGGGAGAAGGTCTGCTGTGCTGTGGGTTGGGACAATTGCCAATACAAACATAAAGATATCCAGGTTTTCATCCTATAAAAATACACTGAGGAGAGCCAGGTAGAGTGGGTCTTAAAGAATAACCCTACAGAGGAAGACTTGCCTGGAATGTCCAGGTTCTCTGCCAGGATGACCATTTTCCTTATGTTTGGCTCTTTTGACACTGAGAAGAGCTCCAGCGTCCTCCTGTTCCACAGCATAACAGCTGCTCCATTCATGGTCACCAGGTAGGGCTCGTGGGCCGCTATAACACCGTCACTCCAGGTCTTGTTCAAAGCATATGTTCTATTTTTTAGGAGACTCAGACTTTGCAACCCTAAGGAAGAGTCAAGTCCTTACAAGCTGATATAGAATAACTTGTGACTGCAAGTACCATTTGATTGAGGTTCAATGACCGCAAACTGAAAATAAACATAGATTCTTCCTATCAAGTTTTGTAGGTTTTAGTTTTATAGTTAAAGATAGTCCAATGAAAAGTTTAAAGCTTCAGAGAAGCAAGGGGCTTAGGTCGGCCATGTGGGCACATCAGATATGACTTTACCATCTTTCCATTAAATAACTGGTATAGCTGCTAGGCCTCAAGGATGGCTTCTCAAATCTGGCCTAAGGTACAACTTGTACCTGTTATCAGGTCATAACAGAAGCACCTGTATTTCATTTGCAATGGAAGTTTGGTTCCATTACTTCTTCTTATAGAAATAGAAACAAATGCTGAACACTGCAAAAAGCTACTATGTTATTTCTGAAGTTTTCTCTTTTAACTCTTAAGTCTAGGCTTATAGATGAGAACTGAGTTTGAAGTAAGCGACTTTGCCCAAACTTTAACTATAAAAATCAGAACTTAAGTTTATGTCTATCTGGTTCTAAGAATGACTGGAATCATTATACTAAAAGCAAGACTCTCACCCATCCCCTCAAGCGTCTTCCAATTCTACTGGTTATGTCGTGCTTACCTAACCCTCTGGTAGTCCAGAGGATGCTAGATGAGCCAAGGTCTAAAGCCACGCGGGTGTCTGCCGTCCAGGTGCCTCTCCAGACTTCCTGTTTGTTTTTGCCATCAAGGGTCATACTTTGCAAGTGTTTCCCACTTTCTACCCAGTAGAGCACCCTCTTCGGCCAATCGAGAAGAAGATGAAGTATAATGTTGTCCGTTCTGTAGAGGGTATGTGTGTCTGGGCCAGTAATTCTAGTCTTCTGAATAGCACTTCTGTCACAGGGCAGCCAGTACAAGTTCCCAGTTGATATGTCCACATTTCCTGAGCAGACTGTAAGGAGGAAGAGTAACTGCCATCAGAAAGGGCACTCAAATATGCCCATGGCCTGTCTTAAGCTTTGGGTCAAGGGTAGAAGGGAGACAATTGAGAGACACAAAGACCAGACAATTGAGAGACAAAAAGACCCTAAGAAGCCTACATGCCTGTTCGCATGATGAGGTCCATCATGCCTACTCTGGTTCCAGCACCATGTCTGTCATACGAGTTCATTTGATCCCTGCAATTCACTGAATTTTATAAGTTAGATATCTAAGTGGCAAGGCTTGCACTTGAACCCAGGCTTAGAACTTTGGATTCACATTCCTTCTTCATAAACTAAGTATAAAAATCAGTCAATTACACATCAACTGACTAGGACTAAAATTTCTATAGGAAAGCAGAGATTGAGCTAAAGTGACACCCACCAGTGTTATGAAAGGTCATCGGCAGAATAGATAGTGCAGAGATATACAACTAGAAGACATAGATAGGATAGGGACCAAGTATATATAAGTTATGAAGTGTTGATTTGTGTTTGTTTGTTTGTTTGTTTGTTTATTTTTAAGATTTTATTGGGGAATTGGTGGAGGGGAACAGTGTTGGGGAATTGGGGAAGGGGAACAGCCAAGTTGTTGTCCTTTAGTCTTAATTGTGGAGGGTGCAGCAAGCTCAGCTCCAAGTACAGTCACGCTGCTCAGCTCAAGGTGCTGTGTTCAATTAGTTGCAGGTGGGCATAGCCACCATCCCATGTGGGAGTCGAACTGGCAGCCTTGTTGTTAAGAGCGTGCACTCTATATCTTGAGCCACCGGGCAGCAGCTCAGCTCAAGGTGCCAAGTTCAGTCTTTAGTTGGGGGTAGGTGTAGTCCACCATTCAAACTTGCAGCCTTGTTGTTAGAAGCATATGCTCTCACCAGCTGAGCCATTCTGCCACCCTGTTGGCAGCTCAGCAGCAGCTCAACTCAGAGCACAGCGTCACTGACCCATGTGGTAATCCAACTGGTGACCCCATTGCTCAGAGCTCACACTCTTGGGCAAGCTCTTAACCAACTGAACCACTCGGCTGGCCCATGAAGTGTTGGTTTTTAGATAGAACTGAGTTAGGCACCAACTTACAAACATCCCTCCTCCTTCCATCCCTCCCACTGTAGCTATACAATCGGGTCTAAGCTAGGTATCACTTACTCTGGGATGCAGCATAGCATAAAGGTTAAGAGCAGTGTTAGGCTAGCAAGTCAGGCTGCCTTGTTTGAAATATTTTTCCAAAATAAGGTGTCAATTTCTGAGCCTCAGTTTCTACAAACATATGATAGGAACAGTGCTTCTCGCATAGAGCTGTTATGAGGATTAGAGTTAACACATATGAAAAGCTTAGTCTAATGTCCGTTATTTGAGAGCAGTGTGCTTACACACTGCTGTGTAAGTAGTAAGCTGGCTTATACAAGTTTATAACAGCCAAGTGGTAAATTCAGGAATTCTGTAAGCTTGGCATTCAATACAGCCATTATTAAAAACTAAATTACATCAAATTAAATCATATTTGAAACACAATTAAAATGCTCAAACCATCACTTAGCTATGTTCCTCCATCTTACTGTTAGCCATATTCTTGTTTACTGATGTCTATTGTCTCCGTATGGAGGAAACTCTACATTAATGACTGCTCCTGCACCCGCCTTCCCAACTCCATCCTTGACGACGGTACAGTCCTAGCTTGAAATCTGGCACTGTGGGAGTTTTTACACCACAAAAATTGGCAAACACTACAGGGGGTTTGATTTGGTTTTGGTTTTGGTTTCTAAACCAGGGACTAGCAAATGATGGCTCTTGGGCCAAATCCAGCTATGGTCTGAAAGTTTTAGTGGAACACAGCCATGGCCATTCACTTCCATATTGTCTATGGCTGCTTCTGTGATACAATGGCAAAGTGCCCAACAAGCCTAAAATATTTCTATTTGGTCTTTTACAGTTAGACGTTCACAACCCCTTGACAAGGCCAGAGAAAATGTTAACATTGCAGATGAAAGTGGCATGAGTCCTGTCTACACTCATTACACTTTAAATGCCACAAAAAATGAGGAAATATTTTTCTAGTATTTGAAAACTATTATCCAATTCCACAAGTAAATAATTTATGTTATGGACCAACTAATTCCAAATAGTCTTCATTGCTTCACTTTCATCTTGTTTATAGAAAGTGTCAAATGACATTCACATCAAGACTACATTCACTCAATAATGGCATCTACTTCTTTGTCATAGCAGATAGCAGTCAAGCATTTATTCATAATTGGGTTTTATTAAATCTTGATTGAATTGCAACTATAGATGGGCTACAGATCCAAGAATTCAGAATAAAAAAGCAATCTATGAAATCAGTTGGCTATACAAAATTTACAATAAAGGATGTTGTATACCTTATTATTTGTAAATTGTATTACACATCCTATATCAGTTTAAGCTTTATTATAACATATGTAGGTGGGAACATGCACACCTTTTATTCCAGAGAGGCAGTTGTTAAATATATCTCAGTATACCTGTGGGTATTAAGACCCTAAACATTAGGAGGTGACTGGTTAGCTCAGTTGGTTAGAGAGTGGTACTGATAACACCAAGGTTGCTGGTTTGATTCCTGCATGGGCCGCTGTGAACTGTGTCCTCCCTAAGAGTCAACTATGCCATTGTAGCATGAAAGCAATGTGTAACCAATGACCATGGCTGTTCCCCAATAAAATTTATTGAAAAAAAAAGAACCTAAACATTAACTACTAGGGTATGTTGATGAATAGGCAAGACATAGAAGTGGGGTATGGTGACAGAATGGAGAAGCCAGTACACACAGGGCTTAGTGTGCTGTAAGTTCTTCCTACTTCCTGGGTGTTAGGGTGGGAGCACGTCTTTACTCTCCCTCACATTTTCATATGAAGGAACTTGCCTAGAATTGTGCTTCTGAATTCTCCCCTCATTCCTCAAGTCACTCCTGCCCAGGAAAAAAGTGACTTAACATTGGCAAGTTAGTAAGAACAGACTGGCCACACTCGCTTCAGCTTTTCTCTTCTTCATTGGGCTCTGCCATCTGCAGAGAATATGTGCTCTCTCTTGAGTTAGATTTAACCTCAGCACTCCACAGATGCAAGGTTGAAAGTCCAGTTGCCAGAGTCACAGAATGTTCTTTGAGCAATTCTACACAGGTTCTTAAAGACATGCCCTCTTTTTTAAAACTGAATTTTGAAGCCCTCCCATTTTTTATTAGGAATTTCATCTGTATTTTCCAGTCTCAATTTTTGAGGACAAGATTAACACATCCAAGAGAAAACAACACAGATGTCAGTGTGCCTTGATGAAAGAATAAGCTGAAAGCTGATGCTCATGGGTTTTAAGGAAGCCCTGAGACCCCACAGGTTAAGAGCTCAGTCCCCCACTTCTGACACCAATCACAAGTCCCAGGTTGTCACCTGTACTTTAACTGACTAGTTTTAAATCAGGGTCCTCAGAACCCCCTGCTTAGGTTTGATAATTTGCTAGAATGGCTTACAGAACTCAGGGAAACAGTTTACCTACATTGCTGGCTTATTATATAAAGGATACAGATGAACAGCTAGATGAAGAGATACACAAGGGAATGTCCAAAGGGTCCCAAGCACGGGAATTTCTGTTCCTATTAAGTTGGTGTGCACCACTCTCCCAGCACAGGGAAGTGTTCCCCAACCCAGGAGTTCTCTGAACCCCATACTTTGGGGATTTTTATGGAGGCTTCATCACATTTGTATGATTGATTATTAACTCCATTTCCATCCCCTCTCCCTTCTCTAGAGAATGGGTATGGGGATGAAAGTTCTACACTTCTAATCATGGCCTAGTCTTTCTGATGACCAACCCCCACCCAGGAGCCACCAAGAGTCACCTCATTAGAATAAAAGATGCTCCTATCACCCAGGAAATTCCAAGGGATTTAGGAATTCTGTGTCTGATGATCCTATCATTCAGGAAATTATAAAGGTCTTAAGAATTCTGTGCTAGAAACTTGGGGCAGATAGATATAGATATAGATGATATAGATGGAGATAGAGATAGATATATTACATAATTTCAAAGCTACCTCCACAGGGATTGAATATTCAACACCAGAGGAAGCTCAGATAAAATTGTCAGCCTCTTACAAATCCTTGATATAATAATTGTCACACAGAAACCAATTAGCAAGGATTAGCCAGCTGGGGGAAGGTAACAGTTTAATTAAGTGGAAAGAAATTCACCAAGAGGGGTTTCCTAGATAGCCATCAGATGTATCACAAAGACCACTGCCCATTTCAGCTTCTCCTGAAAGTGTTCTAGGTCAGGTACTGGAACCCCCATGTGCCAGCCAGGTACTGTGCTTGCCCACAAGACTCTGGGTAGAGTCTACTGCTCTGCCCACATATTTCAATACAGCACTTTTTGCAGTAAAGCATGTCTTTGGTACTTAGAGTACACAGGGCACAGACATTCAGAAACTGGAGAGCTCAGGTCTCAGTTCTCCTTTATAAAGTAGATGTTTGCATTAGGCTGAGTACAAGGAGCTAAGAGTGAGGTGTAGCATTTAGGTGTGTGGGAGGGGAGAGAAAGCATAGATTATCATATTAAGAAAATATCTTGCTAGCTCTCTCTGAAATCTGCATTGCAAAGTACATCTAAATTAGTGTAACAAAATCTGCAATGCAAAATTGAAGTATTTAAGGTCCATTTCTATCCTACCCAGACTTAAGGCCAGAAAAACAGAATTTTAAAAGCTTGACCATTGATCATGGGATTTCCCAACTCATGGTAACCTTTTAATAGTCTGCACATCCCTGATAAGAACAAGGGTAAATCAGGGACTCTTAATATTTAAATTAGTTAAAAACCACTCGCTGGCATTAATGTTGATTCAGATTAGGAACAGGTAAGTAAGTTTTTTGGGCCCTAGTAAATTTTAGAGCCAGAAAATAAAGAAAAAATGAAAACCAGCCACCCCAACTTACCTGTACGCTCCACCCAAATCTCTTGCATTTCTCCTGAATAGCCAGTTGAGCAGAACAGATGTCCCTGGGCATTTGTCCAGTAGATGAGGTTTCTCTTCCAGTCAATGTCCAGTAGATAGATGTTCCTAGGATGCTCTTGAAGTAGGGTCCTCTCTATTGCAGTTCCCATAAAACCAACTTTCAACAAGTAGAGACGTTTGCCAGAAGAAAACACTAGTTTTAACTCTACGGGAGAAAAGGAGAGATGTACTGTTGGACCATTTGTCAGACAAGCCCCACCCTCCCTTCTTGAGCAATGCCCCTCTCTCAAGCGGAGGCACCCCTAGAAAAGGAACTTTAAATAAAGTTCCCTTTATCAAGGGAAGCCCTTAAGCACCCATGAAAGCCCTATCTTCTTTAGAGAAGGGAGTCTTTTGAACAAATAAAAATGTGAGGTGTTGCTCAGCTTCCCCAAGGCTCTAAGTCTTCTGAATTTCTGCTGAAAGGTTAACACAGAATCATGAGGGTTAGGGCTGGAGTGCTAGTTCATTTGATTCAGCGATGTCTTCAAATCCTTGCTGATAGCACATGAGTCTCAGCACAAAGCATTTTAAACTCTACTGCCTATTTAAAGAAAAGTTACTTGGCTATTTAACTGTGTATGTAATGTTCAAACTATGATTTAAGCTGGTCTTGAGTTTGGCCTATCAGTTTGTGACACCAGGATTGCATCCCATGGCTACCCTGTGGAGTATGTTTTGTAAAGGTAGTGAGAACATGAACATACTTACGTCATTTATTCTTCTTAAAACCTCAATGTTCTGTAGACAAATGTCAAGTAATTTGGATAGAGATATTTAATGATTATATGGCCTTTCATATTTCAAAGATGGAACAGCAGCATGAAGGATTCATGTTAACAATATTGAAGTACACACCGTTCACAAATATAAGTCAGAACACACAATAGTCCTGAGACTATAAAGAATTTCTTTCTTACACCAACTTAGTCATTATTTTTTCATGTAACATTGAATGGGATAAGCTATGTTTTCCTGTTTTAAAACTAATCAAACCTAACTATCCATTGAAGGATAAATATACAAAATGTAGTGTGTATGGTGTGTGTGCATATATTTCATATGTGTGTGTGTGTATGAATATGTGTGTATGTGTGTATGTGTGTGTATCTATCTATCTATATATCTATATATCTATCTATATATATATATATGATTATTATTTAGCCTTAAAAAGAAAGGAAATTCAATGTTACAATGTAGATGAATCTTGAAGACATTATGCTAAGCGAAATAAGTCAGTCACAGAAGGACAAATACTGTCTGATTCCACTTACATGAAGTAACAAGAGTAGTCAAATTCATAAAGACAGAAAGTAAAATGGTGGTTGCCAGAGGCTGGGGGAGAGAGACATGGGGAGTTGTTGTTTAATGGGTACAGAATTTCAGTTTGGAAGGATGAAAAATTCTGGAAATGGATGGTGGTGATGGTTGCACAAAAATATGAATGTACTTAGTGCCACTAAACTGTACATTTGAAAATGGCTAAAGTGGTAAATTTTGTTATGTATATTTTAGCACACACACACAAAACCATAATTGAGGTCTTTTGAGTTATCAAAGTAGGTTGTCAGTATAAATGTGATTGATCCAAAAATGGAAGCTACATTATTTCCAGGCCTACCTGGCATATGCCCCCTAGAGCCAAGTCCATTTCACCCAGCATACTTACCACTACATGTACCGGAAGGTAAAAGAAACATCCCTTCTGGACAAACACACTTATAGCCCTTGGGAAGGATGGGGGACAGGAGACATAAGTGGCTACAAGAACCTGGAACACATGCTGGGTATCTGCCTATTTTAAAATAGAAATAGGTTAGATACAATTTCATATTTATTTATACACACTCGTTTAAAATTTAATACTAAAGGGGAGTTAAATCAGTTTTACCTTAAGAGGGATCCCAATATACTTGTTACCTTCTAGGTTAGGCATGCTGACCTTTGAACTTCTATCTTTCAGATAGTGACAATTACCTATATATTGAGCTTGGGCCAATAAAGTCTCAACCAACAGCATCTTCTCCCTCAGAGTTAAGGCAAAATGACTGTCTAAACTGCTTACAGGAAGACCCCCTTAGAAGTAAATAGTGATCTAGGCTTTCTACTTTGGTTAATTTCTTGGACCCCTTTAAGAAGCAATAGCTGAGTGTTAATCTGACATACAATTTCAGATTAACAAAAGCTTTTAATTCCTAGTCCATGAATATTTGACTTCCTTCTATAAGCAGAATGCTGGGCTTGGTTTAATTTTCTGTTATCCATTGACATTGTTAGTTAGTAATTCTAATCCTGCTGTGAATATCTTACTACCCTGTTTTGTGTATTTCAGACATTTAAAACTCTGGTAACTATACTGGACAAGCACAAGATACATGCTTGGAATGAGTTTCCCAGTAGATGCCTTTGTTCAGTTCATCTTACTTAGAAGTCCTATGTAAGTCTAGAATCATATCCAGACTATTTCCCCTGCCTCAAAACAGCAAGTTCCAACAACAGACCAAGGTAGGAATTTAGGTAGTTTCCATTGAGTGTGCTGATTCATAAGCATTTCAAAAACAAGTCGTGGACTTACCCTTAGGCTGTTGGGATTTGTGGAGGACTGAGAAAGCAGATATGGACGCATTTAGCAGCACCACTCTTTCCTGTGGAGTGTGGGGTGAAGTATAAAACATCTGTGCTTTATTTGTCCAGAAGAAAGAGTTCTCAAACACAGCTAGTCCTACTGGATCGTCATCTTTTAAGAAGATCTTAGGAAAGGTGTACCGCCCACTGCCATCCACGTTCACCGTCTCTATGGACTGAAGGGTTGGAGAGTCTCATGAGAGCACGGAAGCACTAGCAAGAGGTACTGACAATGTTAGTGCATCTCTGTTTCTTGGACACTGATTAAACATCTTCATGTGATAACAACATGATAGAGACGAATTCACCTTAGTATTCATGGAGGCAAATGCCCAAACGAGTGGATCGGACTGCTTCTTCTGCAAAGTGGGTCACAGATATGTGGTATAAGATGCTACTATAACGTATCGTCTGCATCTAGACATCGTACCAGCTCCTTTGGCTACCTTCTCCACCTGCCTTCTGAGGTAGGAATTTTATCTCTTTTCAGAGAGGGCAATGGGAACTCAAAGAGGCACTGTAAGTAGCCAAAATTACAGCTGGAAGTAATAGGCTTAAAAATATGACGCCCAAGCCTATGCTCTCAGCCACCATGTCATACTGGTGTTTTAGTTTGTGCTTCCAAATATGAGATAATATTAAGAACTAGAAACATGAGTACAAGACACTGAAGTACCTAAGTATCTGCATGCTTTCAAGGAAGTACTCTGCCATCTTAAAAGATTTTGTATCCTAGGTACAATATAGAACATGACCTATGTTATCAGGAAATTCCAATGCTAAGTTTGACTGTAGAGTTTTTTTAAGAAAGTCACACTAAGTCTCCCAACCTATGTTGATACAGTTTGGCTCTACCTAAAGATACTGGGCAATTATAGCTTGCTTTTCTCAGTTTTCACGACCAGAAAATGCTTCACCGAGTTGATGTTTAAGACTTAAGAGAAATTTGTACTTACCCACAGTCATCCCAAACCTCAACCAAAAGGGTTTACCTTTTCCTCTTGACCTCTCTATAGTACCTTTTTATATTTACTGATCCAGTACAGCCTGCCAGTCACGTGGTCAAGTGTCAGTCCTATAGGTTCCTCCATGTTTATAACCACAAGCACCTTCCTATCAGAGCTGTCCATTCCTGCAGTTTCAATAGTGCTCATGCCTTTCTGACCTCGATTTACCCAATACAAGTACCTGAGAAAAGCAAAAGCACAAAGTGTTGGAGAATGCCTTCAGTTGCACATATATTGTTCTGAACAGCTGGGCTCCCTCAGCTCTCTTATACAGACTTCACATCATTGCACTAAGAATGTTGGAGATTTCGGCTCTTAGACTCAGTAGACTTTGAAAAGTTTGGCTCCATAATATTGAATTTAGATTTCAAATTTAAGACTTGTTTGGAACAAATGGGACCTAGGTTGGAAATGTTAAAGTGTTCTCTTATCAATGTAACTATCTAAGTTTACCAATGATTTTGGATATATTCCAAAAGAAACACTACTTACTTCTTTGCAGGAAACACGAGTAGCTGTTCTGGCACAAGATCCTTTTCCAGGATTTTGACGTAGCCTCTGCCATCACTTAAACCAGCACAGATGACCCTTGCAAAGCTGCTAGCCCAATACAACTGTCCAGTGAACCAGTCCAAAGAGACACTGTTCACTGTTTTAAGTTCTGGGGACACAGGAGACAGTATTATGTGCCTGTATTCTTCTGCACCCATCTTATCTTGAAAGAAGAGACTCAGACAAAACTTTTCTACAGCTTCTGACTTCAAACTATACAATGAGGCAAACAGGACACAGGGAATACCTGCTAAGGTGTTTCCAACACAGAGTGGGCAGTGTGGAAAGACCTTAGCAGAAGCATAACCAAAGAATCCAAAAGAATGTGGCCTCAGTTTGGGGCAATATTTAATACAGAAGTCTCAGGTGAATTGTTATGAACTCTATCTCTTCACTGCTATCAGGGGATTTCTATGTGCCCAGGGCTATGCTAAGCACTTTTTCATATGCACTGTCCAGTTTAATCCCCACATTTACACAGTGAGGCAAGTGCTATTACCCTCATCTTATAGAGGGTGATTCAAAGAAGTTAACAACTTGCTCAAGGTCACATATCTAGTATGGAACTAAGACTAACCTTGGCGTTAGCTTCCAAAACTTTCTGTACTGCTTACCAGTGATTTAACCCTCAGGTTATACTCTACAAAGCTCCTATAGAGCATACAAACTACATAGTCTTATCTCAAATTGGGATTTTATGTACTCTTATGATTCATGATAAATGAGTCACAGAGGAAGGTGCCTGGATAAATACATATGCTTCTTACACTATGTTTAAGTAGCTTTAAGAAGCGAGGGCTCTTCACGTCAAGAAATATACCTGGATAGAGAGAAACAGAGCTTGGCTTTCCAAGGACAAACACATTTAAGACTTCATCTACCCAAAAATACATGCTTCTGTCAAGATCATATGCAACAGAAGTAGGCATTGATTTTATAGGTATCAGAGTCTCAAAGATGCCTGTTCTTCGATCCAGGATGCCAAGC